ATCTTTTGATGCATGCTAAAACCTTTGGAACACTTATTAATACCCAAGTTGGTATAAAAGAAATGGTCCATCGTATTCAAAAATATAGATTTGGATTTATTAAAGCGTTACAATACTTTATTTGCAATTCGACATTTAGCAGATGGTGGTATTGATCCAAGATTTAATAGATCTTGTACTGGATTTACAAATTCAAATTTTGGACAATTATTTTTAAATTGGTATGTTACAGAAGATAAATATTCAACTGAAGCAACTGAACAAGTTCAAGATGATGATGATAATACAAAAAGTAAATATTTTATTGCATATAGTAGTACATGTTTGATATTTATATTTACTAATCTTTTAATTTAGTTATATCTCCAGTAAACTTTATTTCCAATATTTCATTAAAAAAAAGAATGTCAAAGCAGGAACGTGATAAACTTCTTTTAACTTTACATAATTTTAAAACTGAATTGTTTTTATCTTATGTGGATATGAAGTTTGAGGCGGCACTTATAAACTCTTCAATTAGTTGGTACAAATTTGCATTTAGAGCTCCGAACGAGTCGAGTCGAGTCGAGTTATATGTAAACTCGATTTGACTCAAGTTAAATCGAGTCGAGTTATATGTAAACTCGATTTGACTCGAGTTAAATCGAGTTGAGTCGAGTCGAGTTAAAATTATAAAAATATAAACTCGACTTGATTCGAGTCGAGTTGGCCCGTCAAACCGAGTCGAATTAAATCACGTGATTTTATTCGGCTATGCCGATCATTTCCTTTTTTGGCGATAGCCGTTCCACAAAATTCCATTTTTGTAATTTTCAAAAAAATTTCGTCTCGGATTTTGTGTAACATAATTTCCAAAAAAGGAAATTCCATAAATTTGGCTTAATTCGGCTTAACTCGACTCGACTCGATTTTATTAAATTATTAACTCGACTCGAATCGATTCGATTTGATTGTAATTTTCAACTCGACTCGACTCAACTTGACCAACTCACGAGTCAACTCGACTCGTTTTGGAGCACTATTTGCATCATATATGATTGAAGAAGAAAATGGTATCCTTTCAAAAGTTCACCTACATCTCAATGATTTTATCACAATTTATGAAGAAGATCATGAAGAATCTTATGCAATAATCAAAGGTAT